TATATTCCATAGATAGCAATCTCCTTATTTAGCTATCTAGTATAAATAGGCGTTAGGTCTCTTGTAAACGGTTACGCTTTTTATATAATCATTTGGAATAAAGTGAATCATTCGGCACTCAGTATATTCTTGAAAATTCATCTTGTGTTCTTGAGTGTTCTTCATTTTATTCATCCACACAACATATTTAGGTTATTCTTAACTTAAGTAGATAAGTTTTCCTTTTCGTAAGAGATTTGCATAATATATTCCATAGATAGCAATCTCCTTATTTAGCTATCTAGTATAAATAGGCGTTAGGTCTCTTGTAAACGGTTACGCTTTTTATATAATCATTTGNTATATTCCATAGATAGCAATCTCCTTATTTAGCTATCTAGTATAAATAGGCGTTAGGTCTCTTGTAAACGGTTACGCTTTTTATATAATCATTTGAAATAAAGTGAATCATTCGGCACTCAGTATATTCTTGAAAATTTATCTTGTGTTCTTGAGTGTTCTTCATTTTATTCATCCACACAACATATTTAGGTTATTCTTAACTTAAGTACTAGTGTTATTGAGAGATCTGGGATCAACAGAGAAAATCATCAATTGTCACGGTACTGCTAGTACAACTTATGTCTCCATCCATCGATGAAGATCAACAAACGCTTGTGATTAACGAGGAGAACAATTGGTTGAAATAAATAAGGAATTATCTCATCCACAACCAACTACCTGACGAGAAAATTGAGGCTTGAAAACTTCGATTCAAAGCATCCCGATACACATTAATTTTAGGAATACTATACAGGCAATCTTGGACTGGATTAAATCTGAGATGTGTGTTTGGGCGACAGACAAAAAATATCCTCAAATATATGCATGGCGGAGAGTGTGGAAATCACTATGGCACTCAAAGTTCGGCCAACTGCCTCTCACGACAGGGTTATTATTGGCCTACACTACGACATGATGTTATTTCATATGTCCAAAGTTGTGACGCCTGTGAACGACACTCAGGTATGATTCATAAACCTTCAAGAAAATTCATTTTTCTTGAAACTCCATTACCATTCATGCAATAGGGCATGGATATCATGGAAAATTACCCCTTGGTGCCCGGACAAATGACATTTCCTTTGGTTCTTACAAATTACTTCTCTAAATAGATACAGGCTGCCATTTTTTCTCAAGTCAAGGATAAAAAGGTCGTATCTTTATCCAGAATAACATCATTGGCAGATTTGAAATTCCATCCAAAATTATATGGGACAACGGATTGCAATATATCAGCGACAAAATTCGACAGTTTTGTAAAGAACAACGTGTAAAACTTATTACGTCTACATCGTATTATCCACAGTCGGATGAGTCAAGTAATAAAGTTATTATCAATTCAATCAAAGAGCAACTCAAAATTTCTAAAGAAAATGGATCGAGGAACTTCCCTCAATCCTATAGGATAAGCCTATGACCCCTCGCACATCTACAGGCAGACGCACCCTCGTTTGCAGGTGTGAGGCAGTATTGCCTATTGAGATCGAAATACCGGTTGCATGACATCAATCAGTCGATCATAACTTGGTTAACCTAAGTTATTTATTTAGAAGAATTATGCTAGTCAGTGTTAATAAAGATGGTCTCTTATCAACAAATGATTGCTCAACATTTCAAAAAGAATGTTAAGGCAAAAGTCTTCCAAGAAGGCGACTATATCCTACAACATGGTTTCCAAAGAGCCAAATGTAAGTAAGATTTCCACCACTTGGGAAAGACCATACAAAATCACAGAAGTCATTGGAGAAGGAGCATACTGACTACATACTATGGATAATTGCAAAATCCCACGTAGCTGGAATGCGGTACATCTGGAAAAAAAAAACTTTTTCTAACCTTTTCATTTATGATTATTTCCCAAAAGAATGTTACTGACTTATACATTGCAGGGTTCTTGGTCAAACCAATGACCATTCTAATTGATATTCCCTTGCAGATTCACACGATCGCTAGACATCGGCATGACTTAGGAAGGATTCAATCTAAAAGATTAAATCATTTCTTTAAAATAAGTCGAAACATGACTTTATAAAACATACAAAGGCCATGTCGCCTATGACATCAAACTATATGCCTTGTCGCATGAACGCCCAAAGTCGATTGGATGCCTAAGTCGGCTGAACACCCGAAATTGCTCAAGGCGGTTGAACGCCAAAGACAGAGAACACCAAAAGCTCTAGTCAACAGACATAAGATACCTGAATTGGCACGATATACAAATATAGTCAAATGAAACTTTTCAATAAATTTCAAAGGAATCAAACAGTAAGGGAGTACACAGAGAAATTCATTGAACACTTTCGTTTTGTCGAACACTACATTTCATCAGAATCTCGTAAAGTCAAGAGATACATCTAGGGATTAAAGCCTTCAATATGAGAATTTATGATTGCAATGAATCCCTCAACATTCCCATTAGCAGTAGACGTGGCAGAAACAATTGAAAGAAACAAGAATTGGCAGGGAGAAAAAAAAATAGTTGAGAAAAGGAAATGAGAGGGGTCTTCGACTGAGTATAGAAGACCAAAATTTGTAAAAACAAAGAATCGTCCAATTCAATAATTTAATGAACAACGCTGTCAAATATGTCACCATGTTCACCATTGCAGTTTGAATCAAATAGTTGTTTCTAGTATGGAAAGTCGAGGCATATCTCACGAGATTGTCAGATGCCTCAACGCTGTTACAAGTGTGATTCTCCTGATCATATAAAATCAGACTGTGCTTAGTTAAAGACTCCAAGATTGTCTTTGGGTGGAAATACTCCAAGTACATACGGAAGAGACAATATCATAAGAGGTGAATCTGATAGGACAAAAGGACAGTCTTTTCATATGTCAAAGGGGGAGGTAGAGAAAATTCCCTATGTGGTAACAAGTACCTTTCTTATAAACTCTGTATATACAAAGGTGTTATTTGATTTCAGTGCCAATTATTCATTTGTATCACCTTTATTTGTTGGTTGTTTATATATGAGTTATGTGCCCCTTGACTATACGTCAGTAGTTGATACTGCTAATAATAGTCAAGTATATGTTACCCATATGTTTAATAACTGCCAAATAGAGGTTGAGGGGTGGTCATTATCGATTTGTTTATTCTCGATGCCGATGAGAGAATCGGATGTTGTGATGGGTATGGATTGGTTAGCAGAAAATTAAGTCATCATCGTGTGTAATAAAAAGATAATAAGCATTGATTTACAGGGAAAAGGGCCAATTTTGATTTATGGTGATCGGCGGGATCCTCACACTAGGCTGATATCTGTTATGAAAGACCGAAAGTGTGTTAAGAAAGGGAAAAGATTTATAGCTTATGTGGTTGATTCAAAGAAATAAAAAGGTAAACAAGAGTCTATCCCTATTCTATGTAAATATCCTGAGATATTTCCTGATGATTGACTAGTTTACCACCTGATCGATCCGTGAAGTTAAGAATTGATCTAATTCCTAAGGCAACACCAGTGGTCAGAACTCCATACCTTTTGGCATCGTTTGAATTAAAAGAGCTAATGACATAGCTAAAAGAATTGTTTGACAAGGGCTTTATCAGATCGAGTACATCTCCCTGCGGTGCTTCCATGTTGTTTGTTAAAAAGAAAGACAGGACGATGAAAATATGTATTGATTATCGAGAACTGAATAAACTGATGCTAAAGAACAAATATCTTTTGCCAAGAATTGATGATTTGTTTAATCAATTAGTAGGGGCAAGTTACTTCTCCAAGATCGATTTGCGGTCCGGGTATCATCAGTTGAAAGTTAGAGACGAAGATATTGCCAAAACTGCATTCCGAACTAGATATGGACATCATGAGTTTCTGGTCATGCCATTTGGTCTAACAAATGGTCCAACAACATTCATGGATTTGATTAATAGGGTATGTAATGAATATCTTGATAAATTTGTTATTGTATTTATCGATGATATTCTTATATACTCACGATCAGAAGCTGAGCATGCCGAACATCTTCGTTTAATTTCTCGAACTTTTGAAGATGGAGAAATTGTATGCAAAATTGTCCAAGTATGAATCCTGGTTGAAGGAAATCCAATTTTTGGGTCATGTTGTTTCTGAAACAGGGGTAAAATTTGATCCTGCAAAGATTGAAGCTATTGAGAAATGGGAAGTACCGAGAACCCCTATCAAGATTCGTAGTTTCTTGGGTCTGACGGGGTACTATCAAAAGTTTATTCAAGACTTCTCATGTATTGTTGCACCCTTGACCAAACTGACAAGGAGAAGTGTTAAGTATGAATAGGGAGATGATCAAATTAAAGCCTTCCCACTGTTGAAGGATCGATTATGTAGTGTTCCAATATTATCTCTACCAGATGGGTCGAAATATTTTGTGGTATACAGTGATGCATCAAAATTAGGTTTGGGATGTGTATTGATGCAGAGGGGGAAAGTTATTGCATATGCTACTAGACAATTAAAAGATAACGAGAAACAATACCCTACGCATGATATGGATCTCATTGTCGTCGTTTTTGCATTGATGATCTGGAGACATTATTTGTTAGGGGCTAAATGTCATATTTACACTAATCATAAAAGTCTTCAACATTTGTTTAACAAGAAGGTATCAAATATGCGGCAAACACAATGGATCGAATTGGTGAACGATTACGATTGTGAAATTCTTTATCATCTCGGGAAGGCAAATGTAGTAGCTGACGCGCTTTGCAGGAAGGAAAATAATAGAATTAAAGCCACTGCATTGAGAACAAACTTAATCCCCAACATTCTTAACAAAATTTTGGTATATGAAAGTGAAGTCGTTAAAGAAGAAAATTTCAAAGCTAAAAGAATTGGAAGAACAATAACAACCTTGACGAAGAACTAAAGAGATTCTATGTTTCCAAGATAGAATCTGGGTACCACGTTCTAGGAATAACCGTGAATTAATTATAGACGGAAGTCACAGATCACGATACTTGATTCATCCAGAAGATGCATAACGATTTGAAACCATTTTATTGGTGGCCAGGATTGAAGAAAGATATTGCAAAATAAGTGGAGCAATGTTTGACGTGTCTGCAAGTAAAGATTGAACATCAACGACCATATGGGAATTTACAGTCCTTGGGAATTCCTGTATAGAAGTGGGATCATATCACAATAGATTTCATCATGAGGTTATTGCAAACTCCGAAGGGGTATGATGCCATATGGGTTATTGTAGATCGTCTAACGAAATTTGCGCACTTTCTACCAATTAAGGAGAATTATCCTTTAGAAAAGCTTGTGAATATTTATATTGAAGAAATAGTGACTCGTCATGGTGTTCCCTTGTCAATCGTCTCAAAGAGGGACAGTAGGTTTACCTTTAAGTTTTGGGAGAAATTTCAAAGAGCTATGTGATCTCTGATCAGGTTGAGTACGATGTATCACCCTCAAACAGATGGGCAGAATGAAAGAACAATTCAGACCCTTAAAGACATGTTGAAAGCTTGTATTATCGACTTCAAGGGATCTTGGGAAAAACATTTATCTTTGATCCAATTTGCTTACAACAACAGTTACCTTTCCATCATTCAAGTGGCACCGTATGAGATTTTGTATGGCAGAAAGTGCAGAACACCGTTATGTTGGAATGAAGTGGGGGAGAAACAGTTAGATGGTCCAGAGATTGTTCAAATAACTATTGAAAATATAGATCAAATCCGAAAAAGAATTAAAACAGCTCAGAACCGACAGAAAAGCTATGCCGATAAACGTCGCAAACCGATCGAGTTTCTGGTAGGGGAGTTTGTGATAAGTTGAGGGTTTAAGTTGGTTATGTACTTAACTTACCCCGGTTATCACATAATGATAAGTTGAGGGGAGGATTATGTGATAACCGATCGAGTTTCTGGTAGAGGATTATGCCAACAAATGCCGCAAACCGATCGAGTTTCTGGTAGGGGAATTCTCAAAAACAGCCCTGAACTTTATGGTGATAAGTTGAGGGTTTAAGTTGGTTATGTGCTTAAATTCTTTTAAATCCTCGCCACCTCATGGCTTTTATTTACATATTATTATTATTATTATTATTATTATTATTATTATTATTATTATTATTATTATTATTATTATTATTATTATTATTATTATTATTATTATTATTATTATTGTTATTGTTATTATTATTATTATTGTTATTATTATTATTATTGAGATAATCTTATTATTTTAGTGGGATTGTGTGTTAAAAGTGAAAAAGAAAATTCGTAAGCATTATGTGTGTATTGGAATCGAGAAAACAGAAGCAGTCAAAGAAAATGAAAGAAGTTGATTCTGTGATTAAATTTCTTGAATTTTTGTTGTTATACATCTTCATCTCTGTGATTCTATAAGGTGAGTTCTATTTGCAAAACGTCAATTTTCTTGTTTATTGGTGAAGAAACCATAAGGTTTCAAGTTTGAGTAATTGATGATTATATGCATACATTTTGGGTTTTGATATAATATTATCATCTGTTGGTAATAAGAGTGGTATAATCAGGAGCTGAGTATTATTTGGTAATAGGAGTAGCACAATTAGGAGATGGATAATTTTTGGTAATAAGGGTGGTATAATCTGGAGTTGAGTATATCTTCATAATAAGGATGACATAATCAGGAGCTGTGTATAGTGGGATAAGGGTAACATAATAAAATTTTGGAAAAATGATGATCTTTTGATCATAGGATTCTGTTATCGCATCCTTGTGATGCGATGAGTATGATTTTACCGCATGAGCGTGATGCGATGAATATGGGATAAAACTGAAATGTTGGTTATCATATACTTGTGATGCGATATGTTGTGGTTATCGCATCTATATGGTGCGGCAAGTTACTTTTATCGCATCTGTTCGATACGACAAGGTAGGTTATCACATCCTTAAGGTGCGACAAGTGTGAGTTATCGCATCTATATGATGTGAGGAGTTACTGTTATCGCATATGTTGGATGCGACAACTTTATGACTTGTTTAACTACTTTTGTATTGTAGTTTTTGTAGATATTGAGACTAAATGTGTAAATTTGTATTTCTTAATATATGAAAATATGTGTTTATATACAAATGTCAGTCACAATGGTATTATTGAAACTTGCTTGAATATGAATAACTCCCTTTGGTATTTTACGTATACTCTTACGTGAACCAATACGTCCACGTGAACCCTTTTTAGGTATAGCTTTTGCCATATTAGGGTGTTCCACCTTATGGTTTTTGATTTAGCAAAAGAGAAAAATATCGATAAGAAAACGAAAATTCCCTTCATTTAACGAAATTCTTTAATGGTTGTTAGAAGAAGAGACCAAATCTAGACGTTTTTATAAATCATGATTGCTATCTTGTAATATTATAATTGTAAGGGCGAAAAATGTTATTTTTGAGAAACCATATGGACCAAATTTGAAAAGAATTGATGTATTTGAGCAAGAAGTAATTTGTTTTTGTTTTTTTAAAGAGTTGGGGGGGAGGAAAGGGACAGAAAGAAGAAAGAGAGGAGTTTGTATGTATATGTGACAACTTATGCTTAGCCACATCAACCACCCAATAACACTGCAATTCCATCTCACTTTCTTATTATTTTATTTTAATTTAAGTTCATTATTGGCCAACTCTTTTTAAGGACAATGCATACCCATGATTTTATCTTAAACAATATAGACTGTTTTATAAGAGATAAAATTAAATAAATATGTGTCAACAAATTTATATGGATGTATTAATAAAATTTTGTAAGATGTTATTGAAAAAAATGTTTTATTGAAAGATGTTTATAGGACAGTTATCAAAATATTATAAACAAGTTGATAAGAAACTTCATTTCAAAAGTGTCATAAAAACTATTTAAAACGTCTAAAAATGTCTCAATAAACTTATCCATGTTTGATTGGTCTTACAAATCTAAGTCATATGAAACAGTTTATTAGGGCACTTAGATATTTACATCATCCTATAAATCTGATTTCCTTGAAAAATATGAATTTTTAATAAAATTTCCCTGAAAAATATGCATTGATTAATATACTCGTTGATAAGAGACGTATTTTGACATGCATATACCAATTCTCATTGTTTTCATTTATTCATGATTTTCATTTAAATTTTCCTCTATATATGTATAATATTTGTCTGGTAAAAATCGTTTGTCTCTTTTTGGTTAAGTCCTACATAAGAGGTAGAGCATGTGGTATCTCTCTATGTAAGGCGAAAAACATTACCAAGTTTTAACAATTCAACTTAGGTGTTTTTTGGACCTTTAGACTGTCCGTCACCGGTAAAAGCAAAAGCAAGCTCCTTGAAGAAATAGTCTCGTATTCCATAGTCTTAAGCTTTAAAACTTATTTTCATGTAATATAATTACCATAGCAATTCAAAATTATGTATAAATAAAACATTGGCCACCACGAGTTGGGTTTTACTGAGAAACGTAAGAAGGGATCTTTACCCTTGGATTCATAGGTGAGAAGTATAAGAAAAGATCCCTACCGAGATGTACTAGATCAATCCTGGTGTCAAGCCCGATTCATGAGTGAGTTTGAGATTAAATGTGATCAAGGGTGCAAATCCCTTCTTACACTCTTCACTTTAACTCTCCTGCTGGTAGTCACCGACAAAATAAATAACGATATCATTATATTTTCATATTATTTTATTATTTGAACTATAAAATATTCACATATTCATATTTGTTTAGATGATATCGTATTTATTCAATTTTAATCAAATTAAAAAATATTATATATATATATATATATATATAGAGAGAGAGAGAGAGAGAGAGAGAGAGAGAGAGAGAGAGGGGGGGAAAATGATGGCCTCTTTTTTGACCAGGATTGGAAATAAAAAATATGGAGAGCTTTCCAACTCACAAAACGAAATCAAACAAAGAAATTATGTGAAACTTTTTATGTTCATTTGGAGCCTTGGAATCAAAATCTTCCTCTTTTTGCAAACATAAAATCCTCTTATAATTTCATCATGTTTTCTTCTTTTTTGTGAATTACACAACTACCCCTCTAGTCTTATCCACTAAACAAACACAGTCATCTTCCCCCTCCTTTTCAACGTGGACATCACCTGCTTCTTTTGGAATGTCATCAAACCCCCTTTAATTCATTGACTTATTTATTAATTAAATACCCCTTTCCTATTACCAATTAAACGCTTCTTTTCATTTCCATTTTTATTTAATTTGTCCAAAATATTTTATTTCTAAACTTGCCTATGGTACTTTGGATAATTAAATAAGACGTGACATGATAAGGCAATATTTCCACGACATAATGGGACAAAAAAGGTTTTTTTTTTTTTCTCTTATTAAATCAAAATAGATGGAACAATATGAGATAACATGAAAAAAAATTATCAAGCTAGCTACCGTCATTTGATATAACACTAATATGGTATTTGCTTTGATGGTCAATACCACCCATTACTGCCACCACCAACCACTACCAACGGCTACCACTATCACCGTCCATTCCCAACTCCAACTCCTCCACAACCACTACCTCCTCCTCTATATTCACCACTGTTGGTCACCATTATCGTCCACCATCTCCGTGTCCTCACCACCACCATCGTCGACCACTTCCGCCTTTGCCACAATCACTACCACCACCTTCGGTTACCACCATATAAAATCATTGAACACTATTTAAGGGTAACTTGTCCAGCCCGATCCTAATCGCTACCAAACACTATGCATACAATTTGTCATGCCCAGTCAATGTTCTAAAAGGCTCGTCACGACTGTCGTTGTGATGTACTATGGTTCAAGGCTCATGTTTGACCTATCTTAAGCTTGTTGCATGTCATGAACCAATACACGATATGTTCAAATTAACATATTATATGTATCCATCTGTCATGTTACAAGTAAATTATATTAAAAACATATCTTATTAATTAGTTATTTATTATAATTATTTATTAAATCACTGATCAAATAACACGTTTTTTAAGAATTACTTTTCTTAATAACTAATGAAGTGTATTTAAATTGGAAATCATCCTCATATATATAATCTTTATTAATTCTTTTCAAAAATTTTACACCAAACTTTTTT